ACTTCTCTGCAGCTTGCAGCTTAAAGAGCAGAAGAGCTGTCATTCTTCAGGCATTGAAGTCAGTACTGCATTGATTCACTTTTGGAAGCCTGTTTTGCAGATGAAAGGAACTTTACTGTTGAAATTTAATTTAATTACTAGGGTGTGGGGGGGGAAACACACAAAACAGAATTTTCAGAGGAATAGTTCATTTTGGTAAATTTCTTCAGCATAACCATTGTGTTTGTTGTTGGTTAGGTACAGTGGATTTAGGAAAAGCAAGGCTACAATGTTTCAAAGCCCTTTTTCATAAAGATAATTTTCTAATCTTGATTATGCAAGTTATATTTTGTTTTGAATTAAGATTTGTTTTAATATGTGAACGGCAAAAACAGGAAAAAACATTTGAACACCCTTTACCAGTATCTAAAGAATGAAAAATCAGTTCACAAGAACTTCAAGAGACAATTATATAGCTCAAAAAATATTTTGCATCTTGCATCTATTTTGTAGATTCAGTGTACATAAAAATAGTATTTGCATGTTAATTTTACAGTGGGAACAAAATGCATACTCTTTTTGTGTGTGTTGAATTCTTGTTTGCAAAGCTTACTCGTTTGAATACTTTATGAAACATGACATTGTCAGTCATGGTATACGCTATGAAAAGTATGTAATGTCTTAAATAAAAGCTCAGTTTAGATGTGACATTGTTACTGAATTGAAGAATCAAGTAGGGGTTTCTTTGCTTAGGGATTGATTTCCAGTAGTTTTCATTTGGGTCCTGTCACTTGAGTCCCAGATTATTGTCCCTAAAAGCTTTTGTTGAAGTCAGGTACTCATAGTGCTGTAGTGCTGTAAGACTTGTGAAAAGGGGATGCTGCCTTTTGACAGCTTTATGATCCAGTTAAAACAAATGATTTTTAAACTAAGGAGGCAGGGGCCGAAATAGTGAGAGAAGAGTGAGGGTAAAAGTAGTCCCTCTGTGTATGCATGAACTTACTGTAAAGTTTCTGGAATGCAGCTGGAATTTGAGATGCTGTGGGATGTAGTGGAAAGAGGGCTGAGCAAATGTTCAAAAGCTGTAGAGGTGAGGTCTAGCTGGTACTGAAGACATCAACTGCTGTAATAACCGAGGAAGTTTAAAAATTCTCCTTTGAAGTGGAGGAGTTGGCTTCACAGTGAGCCTTGTATCCACCCGGTGTGCTGGTTGGCTGGGACAGAATCGCCCTGCATTGCTGGGTTTTTGGTTTTTTTGTTCTCTGTGTTTTGCTCCCTGTCAGGTGAACAAGGAAAGGGAAGACAGCAGGATGATTCTGGGATTTCAGTGTGGTTTCCAAGGAGGCAGGTCTGTGAGTGTTGGTGGATTTAAGCTGGTCCAATGAAATTTTAAATTTTTAATTTTTTTTTTTTTTTTTTTTTTTAGCAAGTAACTTCTACTAGCTTAGCTTCTGAGCAGGTTTAACACAGGATCAATCGAGTGCCAGTGCTGGAACAAATAAGAGGGCTGAAGACAGACTTGTAGCAGGACTGACCTAGTTCAACTTAAGCAGTTGTGACACTGAAGGAAAGGAGTGGTTCTACCTGAAGTCACTTCTAAAATACATTTTAGAAATACTCAGTAGAACTATTAAAGACAGAAACAGTAGGAAAGAACAGAATGGTTCTGGAAAGTATAAAGTGAAGGTTGCTCAGAAGATGTTACTGTTGCTTATGTTAATAATACATGGTATTCCTTACTCCTGTACACGTCAACAATGTTCTGCATCTTACAAATGAGAGATCAATGCAGCATAAGAAATTTAAGGAATTACATGTGAAGTCACATGGACAAGATAGCTTGTTAAAGCTCTGTTTTTATTTAATTGAAAGTTACTGTGTTATTCTCTCCTTTTGCTGAAATGATCTTATTTTTATTTTTGAACATCTTCAGAAAAAATGTATTTCATATCTAGTTTATATCTACCTTTCATTACCCCCTGTTAGAGACTTCTGCCTGCTCCACGTGGTGGGTTTCCGAGGCTTGATGTTACCAGGAGAGATTTGGAAAAGGCTCTTTTTTGTTGCCTGTTAAATCCCTATCTTGGGAGCATTTTGAAGTGTACATTTATGTAGGCAGACAATTCTTTAACTGATGCTGTGGTAAGGAAGCTCTTTTAGAAGTGTGAGGAACTGATTATGGAATAGCTTTGTCTTCTGTCCAGCAGCTGTATAACCCATTGGAGAAGTTTGTCACAGGTGTTTCTTTCTGCCTGCATAGGAAGTTTCAGCTGGTTTCTTCCTTGGCACAGCTTGGAGTTCTGTCTCTTTAGTTGAAACAGCTGTTGTTTTAACCCTGAAGATCTTCTGAATCATTATCTGGTATTTTGGTCAATATTTGTAGAAGAATTATGTAGCACCCTGTAAAGGCATTAGAACTTTGAGTAGAACAGAGTATCAGTATTTTAGGATTGTGGAAATGCCATATGGTGTCAGGATTGGTTTTCTGTAATTCGGCATAAAACAGAGTCTTATGGGTGAATGTTATAAACTTCGGCTCAGTAAGATTTGTTCAGCCTGATTTGCAAATAATAACATCTGAGCATTGGCTTTCTTGATCATCGTGGCTTAGATTAATTCTTGCCCTTGAAATTTGGTATGGCAAATAGCTTGCCCAGGAGCAAGTCACGTCAGTAAGGACGTGTTCTGGAATCCTTACCACGTACATGTTTCTAGCTGTTGGTGAAGAACACTTACAATAGTATGTTGATTTCAGGCAATACTTTAATGCTGCAGGCTTTGAACCACAAATGTAGAATATGGCTCATATCCTAAAATGATATTGGCATTCCTACTTTAAAATTTAGGGCCTGGTATCTAGAAATTGCTCCCTGTTTGGAACTGCTGTAATTTGTGCATGTGATAGTGAAAGGATGTTTCCTTACAGTGAATTGAATTTGGGTTCTTCCTTGTTTTTCCAGAACCTGTATTAATATAGTAATAATAGCACATTTTTTAAGTCAGTAGTGCTTTCTGGGGAATCTCAAGAGAAGACATGATTCATAACCTTCAGCTACAGGATATGTTAAATTTGGGGTGATTAATCCATAGGCTGATTCACAAGTAGTGTGCTGGCATAGGCTTCTTGGGGAGCAGAGCATTTTATTTTCTGTGGAAGGAAGCCTTGTACTTAGCAGAAGCTGGGATTCAAAATTACTTTATTTGTGAGTTTTGTTACTGTGGCTCTCTTAGCTTGTGATCAGAAACAGTGAAAATGGCTTTTGTCTGAATGCAAAATATATGGAGGGGATCAGTAAAAGATTTTAAAACACACTGCATAGTAATTCTTTCCTTGTTTTTAAGTGTTTATTTACTTACTGTAAGGATAGTGGTGAAAGGGAAACTAAATACCTTTAAGATAATAAATGAGATACCATACTGCAGCATCGATCAGGCCAGATTTGTGATTTGTGTCAGTTCAGGTTTCTGTATGTGGATGAGACAAAAGCAAATGACAAAAGTGAAAAAGTGGATGACTTCTCATAATGTCTGTGAATGTCATTTGCAAAAATGAATGACAAAATTGAAGACCACCCATTTGTGCATTTATTAACAGAAAGTTGTTAGTCATCACTGAGCTCTTTCTGACAGGCACTTTTTGCTCTCCTGGGGATGGCTAGGCTGTATGTACAAACTGCAAGTCATCTGGCTAATACTGTCCTTGTTTACCTTTTCTTAATAAAAAGTGTCATCTTTAATGTTTAAGAGCAAAGGAGAAGCTCTTAGTCTTTAGCCTTGTGAAGATGCCATCTTCATCACTGGACTTGTATCTTTTTTTTTTTTTTTTTTTTTTTTTTTTTTTTGAAAAAGGCACTTTTATCCCCTGGCTTTTTTTTTTTTTTTTTTTTTTTTTTTTTTTTTTTGTCCTAGATTTGGATACTTGCCTTGTGGCTTTCTTACTTCCTTCTTCTCTTGAAGGTGCTATCTTAATGGTCCTCAAAGAAGAAAGGCTTATGTTGTAGAAAGTAGTGGGCTGCTTCTGGAAAATGTGGTGTAGAAAATATAGTGAAGTCATGAACAAATTTAGAAAACAATTTTCATAGTAAAACAAAGCTGAATCCATTTCTGAATCTTTATACTGAAAAATTGCTGGTAAAATCTAGTGAATCTTTCCAGTAAAGTTTACTCTTGTATCATGTGATTTTAGACTTTTTATTCCTTGATAGCTTCTTCTTTGACATGGGTAAATAACTCTTTGATGTTGGTAAATGTCCTTTCTAAAAATAGATTGTGAGCAGAAAAGTATTCAGTGGCTCTTGAGTCAGGCTTACATTAAGTCAGTGGGAAATCATTCTGTCTGCTTTAATGGAGGTTGGCTCAACCTCATGTCATTGTGCATTAGCCAAGCCTCAACTACTACCATACAGGAATTCTACAGAGAGTAAATGTTTTATTTTCTTTTTAAATGAAACAATTTGCACAGTTTTTGCAGGGTATTTCTATAATCCTTTGATAAGTAAATCTTAGTTGCTATACATTTGAAATAAATGCTGGTCCTGCAAACTGTTATTTTTTTGGAAATTGTTTTTATTGATGTCAAAAGACATTTTTAAAATGATTATCTGAATGAGGACTTGAAAAATCAGGCCAGCCTCTGACTCTTTCATGGAAAGGTGATGAACTGTTTTAGTTAGATATTTTCAGTTAGAGTGTTTAGAAATTGGGAGGTATGTTTGATAAAGAAAAATTCAATATTCTTCTAATTGTTCAATGGAGGATGCTTCTAATGTGTATGGGAGAAACTGGGATGTTAGATATTTGCTCTTTGGGAAGGGGAAAAAAATTGTCAACTTTATAATTCAGTGGACTCAGAAACAAAATAGTTTTGAACATAGAAGTTGAAATTTCAGAATACCATTTCTGTAACACCTTTAATGTGAAAGTATATACTCTCTGAAAAATGGAAGAAGTAATGGTTTTCTTTAGCTCTGCTGAGCTGTGCTTGGCTAACATTTTTTTCTCATCTGTTTTATAGGTTTTGTAAAAGACACCGGATTAAGTCAAATTCAAATGTTCCATGTGTCCCGAAAGACTTGTTGATGATGTCAGAATTAGTTCTCCCACAGTTCATCTTTAGTCTTATTCAGCACTTGAGAGAGGGGTATAATGAGCCTGGTATGTTTTAAATTTGCATTTATCTAGCATATCTTACCTTGCTGCTCTCTCTTGCTTTGTAGTCTGTGAAGACACAGTACATAAATATATGAATGCTGTCTATAGTTTATATAATTGAATTTTGTGCCTCTTTTGCTAACCAAGTTACTGCCTGCTAGGTGATTTGATTTTGTTCTCTGCTGAAGAGCTTCTTAAAAATGTTTTAACGATTACCTAGCATTGTGTCGAGCTCTTCCAGAAAATGAAATCAGGATTAATTTGAAATTTGTGCATGTGAATTTTAGAAGATTATGAATATATAAATGAATTTCTTTTGTTGTAGTCATAGCTGTTCTGCCTTGTGAAGGTCTTGGCCAAGTTACATTACATTTACACCAAAAGTTCTTGTTATGTGGTTTTCAGCTCTTGATCTGCCATCAGAGAAAGACCTTCATAAAATCCTGCAGGTTTTGGAGCCTCACGTTTCCTTTTTAGAAGATTTGACCAAAATGGGAGGAGCAATGCGATCAGTTCTTACCCAGGTTTTGACTAGCCAGCAGTTCTACAAAGATCTTAGCTCTGGTATGTTTGTGTTATTTCTAATAATTAAATTCTCAAATTGTGAAGAATTTAAGGGCATAAGCTTTTTTTATCACTTCAGTTTTTGCATGTTTTTATTTGACTCTCAAAACCCAGAAAAATGCATGTTTTTAAAGACCATTTTTTGTGGTTGGTAGAAGGGGGGTGGCTTCAGGAGCGACTAGAAACATTTGTTACTAAGACCTGTAAGAGCAAACATTGTTTCAAAATAGTTTTTACAATAAGTCCATCTCTTTAAATGAAGTGAACACAGCAGCTTACTACTTCCAAGTAAGGCATATCAATCTTATTCAAAGTGGAATCTGTCTAACTTATTTTGGGATCTGCTCTCACAGAGGTTACTGGAGGAGACTGGAATGGCAAAATGCTGTTATCTGTCGTGCACGTCTATGCAAAGCCCTTTTTCGTTTTTTCCTTGAAAATACCTCCCCACACCCGAATTATTTATTCTATCCATTCATCACAATGAATCTGAAAATATTGGGCAGTCACTATTAACTCCAAACTACTTAATATAAACTAATTCCATCTTGTTTTTTTTGTGATCAGAAGGTATCTTTTTTGAGTCCTTTGCATACCTCCTTTTCATAGGTATGGAACAAATAGTAATTACGGTAGATTTAAGTTGTCATAACTGGCTTGGGCAGCAGCTAGTTGAAGAACTAGCAGTCTCTAAATCTTTATTTGAAAGGAAAAACACTTATGAAAGCTGCCTCAGGGACAGTTGTATTTATTCTGTTTCCTTTCTCTTCTTCTCTCCTGTTTAATAATATTTGAATGGGAGACATCTTTTCCTGTATGTGATGGAAAAGTGGAGAGGGAATGGGAAGTAAGGCGTTCTTATCTGAACTCTTGGAATAGAGAATATGTATGCTTGAGTAGGTACAGTTTCTGGGTAGGGAAAGCAAAGAAGGAAATTTTAGACCAAAACCTGCCCTTCTGACTTTGAATGCAAAAGGTGCACAGCTAGAAAGATACTGTCATCTCTTTAGTGTTTTATTTTTCTTAAATGCTTGACACAGTTTGCTCCTCCAAAGGTGTTTTTTTTTTTTTTTTTGGTATGTAACAAATGTGTTGGGGTTTGTAGTCCATTTGTTTGTGGAAATTTTTATATCCTGAGCATGCAGTGTGACTTTGCTTCATCAAACAGTTGAAATGATGATATCTTTATGAGTAGTCTCCATTAATCGCAACTGTCAAAATTTGAAATTTGAAATAAAAATTCCAAATATTAGAAGTTAAATATGGCATTTTACCATTACTGGGTTTTTTTGTTGGTTTATTTTTTTTTCCCATTGGAAATTGTAGGTCTGTCCTTTCTGTCCAAAACCAAATGTTTTGAAATAATAAAACAAGTACTTTTTTTTTGCTATAGTGTTAATGGTGGCAGTGCTGGTAAAATAGAAATTAAGAAAACTTAAGAAAACACTATGTTGGAAGGGAAAAAGTGAGGTTTTTTTTTCCTTTGGATTTCAGTTCATCAGTTGGAGAAGCTTTTTAGCTTCTGCATTTCATAATTGTACAGCTTATTAAAACATTGTGGATAATTTTTTAGATTGCTTGTATAGAATACGAAGTATATGAACCAAGTAGCTGCTGTTGTACTTTAATTTAATGCTGTTTTACATATGTATTCAAGGTGTTGGAGAGAATGCATGTGCAAAGAAAAGTCATGAGAAGTACCTCATTGCTTTGAAAGGCTCTGGACTGGCATTTCCTGAGGATAAAATTGCATGTGGTATGCAGGAACAAGGAGCTGGAACTAGCACATTAGCAGTTCAAGGTTTGTGTAGAAAAGTGTTTTAAGAGAAGACTTGATTATTGTTGCTTTTCATGGAAACTGTTCTTTTAGTTTATTTATTTAAAGAAACAAAATTATCTCACTGAAACTTAAGGAATTACCTGTTATTTAGTGCAACACCAAATGACAGGACTCATTTTAATTCTGTCAATGAAGCTAGACATATTAACTTTTTGTTGCTAATATACTAAGCATCATTTCCCAGTCGTAGCATTAGTGGAATTTGAGTAGGCAGGATGAAATTGCTCGTAGTGGAATTTTGTCACTGCAACTAAGTTAAGCCACCTATTCTTACAAAAGTGCTGTGGAATTTTTTTGATCGTGGAAGGCCATCAGAGTTTTTTTGCGATTTCTGAGAAAACACGTCTCCGTTACCTCAGTATGTTGAAGTTCTGCAATGGAACTTATTGGCAAATCCCTAGTTTTGTATTGCTTGGAAATCTTACTCTGACTTCTCAGTCCACCACTGTGTATCTTTTAAAGAAAGTTAATGTGGTGTATCATTTCATGCTGGCTCATTAAATATCAAAATACTCTTTTCAGTATAAGACTTATGAAAGGCATCTCTGAATTTTTTTGTTTCAAAAGGTTTAGCAGGTGCTACAGCAACATCAGGACAAGGGGATTCTTCAGATGAGGTGAGACTGTTTTTAAAAACTATAATGAACTGCAGCGGAATATTAAGTGGAGAGAATGCTTGCAGCCATATCCCACAAACCTTAACTCTTCTATCTACCACATATTCTCTCGCTTTTAATAATTAGGAATGTTAAGGAATATAAAGCAATAGATCTCATGTCTTTGATTTACTAAGGACCACTTGAAAAATCCTTATTTTTGCTAATACTATTTCATATTACTTTATGTGTGTAATATAGAAGAAACTTGTATATGTAGTTCAAAAGTCGCTATCAAGTAAATTGGGCTTGATTAAAGCAAATTTAAAGCATGTGATGTTGTGAATGGTGTTAGTAGCTTTTAGCACTTGAGAATCCAGCAGAGCTGGTGATAGCAGCAGTGAGAATTTCTCTGTAGATAAATTCCCATGTGTAGACTTGACCTTACTTACCAAACACATTGAGTGGGAGTAAAAAGGAGGGAAACTCCTTTTAGATTGAGCTGTAATAAGTAAGTGGAGTTTAATGAGGAAAGTTACATTCTGGTAAAGTTACTTTATAAATTTATTCTCATTTTTTCCCCCTACTATTTAAAATCTCGTTTCAACTAGTAAGCCTTAGAAGCCATTCTGATAGGGTAGTATAACAAACTTTAAATAATGTGAGGTATAGTTTTTCATAGGATTTTTGATTACATTGAGTTCTATGTGAACAAGTATTGAAGTAAAAACAAATGTTTGTGTATGTCTAAAACAGTTGTATGACATGCTTGCCTCTGTCACGAGCACAGCAGCATCTGTTATGCTTTCAGCAGTGCTATTTATAATTTGGCAATTTTCAAAGTATTGCTTGTTGTTTTTTCACCACCACTTGACAAACAAACAGAAAATAAAACCCCACAGAGACTGCTGACAGTATCACGTAAGGCCCATGAAAGAAGGCAGCAATTCAAGTTAATGTTAATAACCTCAAGTAGTGTTTTCAAATAAACTTAAAATGGCTCAGTGTGCTTCTTTCTCTTTTACCCCTATGAGTGATGAGGAGAGGGGAGTAAACTGAAGTTGCTAAGAGTCTGAAGAGAGATTGGATATTGCTGACATTTCGTTTGGGAAAGAAGTCCAAGAGGGATGCAGAGACAGAGATGTATTTTAGGGAGAAAGATTTTATCAGGAAAAGGTAATTTTTTCAAGGAAAAGATATTTTATGAATAAAAAAGGGAGGAATTACAGCAACTGCATTATAGCTTGCTAGAGATACCCGTTTTCTAGAGAGATTTTTCTTTCTGATCTCCAGGTTATAAATATACATGTAGGTATTTAACTATGTTACTGCAGATGTGATTTGTCTAAGTTGAAATTCTGCATATACTCACATACCTGGAATCAATTTTGAGATGTTAACTTCATTATTAAGATATATTGTAGAAAAGCAGAAGGCCCTGTTCGAAATCTGTATTTAGAAAATTTTAAAAAGAATGAGGGAGTAACATGCAGATAAAACAATAAACACTGAAAATCGTAATTTTTTTTAGTATATATTTTGACTTTTCAAATTTCCTTTCATATTTTTAATAAAATCACATTGATATGGTATGGGATACAGTTAAAATAATATAAAAAGTTTCTTGGTTGTTTTTTTTTAAACAAAAAAATCCTCTGCTAGTGGCATTGCTGAATAAAGTTAATTTTTTATTTATAATATTTTTCTTAATCATGGTCTGCTTGACAAATACAAATTGCTGAAAAGAAAGTCTAGTCCTTTCATGGAAAAGCCAGAACAGAACTGTGCATGTGGAAGGCTGAAGTGTTTATTAGAAAAAATATGTTACTGGAGAAATGCTTTCTAGAGAAATGAGAAAAAAGTTATCTTGCTTTGTGACTTCTCTTCCTCTCCCCTGCCTTCCCCTGGAAAGGCATTTACAGCTTTTTTTATGCTTTGTTTATACTCTCATATAGCAGAGTAAAACTATGTTCTAATTAAGAAATGTGTCAAGAGTACAATTTTAACTGGATTTTCTTCCTCTGGTATTTAAGATAAATCTAGAAAGGTTAATATTATTTTTTACCACCTACATCTTAAAGGTAGCATTGTTTTACAGACGAAAGGCCAGATTACAAAATTTACATAGGCTATAAATTAGAGCAGTGTTTCTTCAGGCAACTAAATAATTTGAAAAGTTTTGCATAGTTCAGTATTTAGTGTCACTAAATGAAATGAATCTGAAGGGTGGATGTATCCTGAGATTGTGTTGTGGGTTGTTTTGTTTTGTTCCCCTCCTGAAACAGTAGAGGCTCACTTGTGCTTTACTTCTCAAATGGTTTGTATTCCATCTTGTGGTATTTTGGAGAGAACTCACCATCAGTTTTCTTTATTACCTTTTCTTCCTCATGTTTTCCTTTGTGCAAAATGAGAAGAAAAAGCCCTCTCTATACCTGTCCTCCTATTTAAGAAGTTTTTGTGTTCCAAGAAATCAAATAAAACCCAATCCATGAACACTTTTACCACATTCATGAATAAACTTTTTTGTATTGGGTATCTCTGTTTGGCTGCACTTGTAGTTTAAGCACTGAATGCTGTATTACTCAGTTATATAGTTTTTTACTCCAATTGCCATTTGATGTAATTGTACAAATATCTATGTATAATATCTAATAAATAAAGTTTATCATCTGAATTTACAACAGATGTGGCACACCTTAGGCGTATTGCAAAATATTATATTATGTAAAATAAATCTTTGCTGTTATCCAGATATATTTACACAGCATTATTCAATGGGTAAAAACAAGGTGTTCTACATTTGCTTACTCATTCTCTTACTCTCTATCCCTGGGTTTGCAGACATCATGTGAGCTAGGACTCGCTATCTCAAGGCTGTTACAACTCCTGCACTCAACATTAACTTTTAATCCTACCTTACTGAAGAAATGGAAACCAACTGTCTAACATTATTAAGGAAAAAAGAGTTCTCAAGAAAGTGTTTCTCATAAGTCACTTAATTTTTCTTCTTTTTAGTGAAACCACTTCAAAAGTTGCAATAAAGACTGTTGTATATTTAAATTTTTCTCATACTGTAGAAGGAGAAATGCATTTTGTTTTCCAGAGCAGTGGTATTGGAGGCTAGAATCCAACACATTAGTCACAGTTTGTATACCCAAATGCATTATTTTCTGGTTAAGGCCCCTATAGTAACTCTGGATTAACTGAGACTGCTGAAAAGATCTTGAGACCTCCAGCTATCAATTTTCCAGCTATAGGAATTTAGTTTCCTCTTTTTCAGGACAGGAGACTTAAATTACAGAGTCCTGAAGTCTGTAGTAATATCTCAGCAGGTCTGATTTTTGCTTTAGAGTACTTGACCCCTCTGATGGGCAATGGCAATATCCTGAGAACTGACTGGCTCACGATGGAAGTACAAAAGTAAGGTGTGTTCACAAAGACCACAGAACACCTTAAGAATTAAAATGTGTGTCCATTTTAAAAATAATTTTCAGATGGAGGTACTGAAAGGCTAGGAAAATTCAGACCTTTCGTTAGCATGATATTTTTGATCAGTCCTTAGATATAAAATATGAATAATCTTTCTCCCCAAGGAAGGAGAGTCACTTCTTGAGTTCTTGGTTTTTTATAATTCCAGTGAAGTTTGGAAGTAAAATATGGTATTTGCTTAGAGGAGAAGGATATTGATTGCTTATTTTTAATAGTAGGTACCTGCATTAATTATCTCTCATTTTATTAGATCCAGTAGGAATCTTTGTTTCCACTGTTTCATTAGGTCTGCCATTGTCGGTAAAGATCCATGCAGCATTTAATATAGTCCTATAATGTCATGTTCTTTTTTAACACCCAGTGTTAGACTTTGTAAAGTGGTGGTGATGTTGTTTGTAACTTGCATTGCATTTTGGAACCTTTGCTGTTTTGTTTGCAGAGTGCCTTGAAAGTTTCAGATGACAAGTGCCTGCATAAAGTGTTTCCATTATTCTGTAGGGAACAAGCAATTGGAGTGCAGCAATTAGAACTGGCCTCTTAAAGGTGTCAACAAAAACTTAACTCTTGATCAGAACTTTATATTGATTAGAAAATGTCTAGCTAAATGTCTGAATTGCCAAATTTAATAGCCAGTATGTTGTCTGATATTTTTTTAGGATGAGTATGTGAAACCTTGAATGTGCAACAGTTAGAAATTTTGTAGCGTTGAACATTTTTGTAGTGTTGAACATTTTTGTAGCAGTCAGTTTCAGAAATCAGAGCAGGTAACCTTGCAAAATTAATTAAATAGATGAAGGTGTCTGAACTTGCAGATGATAATGTTGCCTGTAGGGGGAAAAAAGGCAATTTAAAAATTTGTGGTTTTCCTGATGAGTTACACAGAGTCCAAGGTTCCTATAAACAGCAAAAGTGTTTTTCTGGTAAGAGAGTATATTCAGGGCTTTTCTGGTTTAGCTGGATAGTTGGACCAGAATTTTGAGAGCATACCATATCTTGTCAATAAAATTTTAAATATACGATGATCAATTTTTTTAAACTCTTCTCCTACCCCAGGAGGACCAGGATGGTAGCCAAGGTGTGGGCAAGCGCAAGAGAGTGAAACTAAGCAGCACCACCAAAGGTATTTATAAAGTGCTGATCTCAGTTTATCATATTTGCTTTATGTCTATCTGAAAAATTATCTAGAAATATTCATTCACTTCCCAAGCACTTTAGTGCTGCATATGACAGGCATTAAACATAGCAAAGTCTAAAAAAGAATTGCAAGTGAAATTGTGGTTATCGGCAACTTTTATTTCCCTTGAGTGAGTACCACTGTCTGCACTCTATTTGACCAGTCATTTTATCACCGTCATGTTGTAAGCTGACCTTTAAAAACTTATTTAATTTTCATTGTGTGGCTGGCAAGGTTGCAATACAGCTTGGCAAACAAGTTTTTGATGTGTTTCTTCTTAACAATTCTTTTGCATTATGCCGCTGTACAGTATGATTGTGTTCTCAGACAGGCAAGAATGGTTCTCTCTGGTTCTGGTTGGTTTTTCTGTACTGTTCTAGTAATATTTAAGAAAAGATATTGGAATGAAGCCTCCTTTGAAGCCACTCCATTCTTATCCTAGATTGAAATTAGTTCTCTGTGCAAATTCTAGTCTAACATGAAGAGCACTCACATTGAGATCTGTGCAAGTTTTAATTCAAGGATGAACATAGGCTAGAGACAAGCTAGCCCTGTCCCATGCTTGTCCTTGACATGTTTTTGCGCTAAAAAGTTTTTAAATAATAATATTTAAACTCTTATTATTAAACAAAGAACACATTTTTTTAGTATGAGTATGAGGAGAGTGAGAGAAAGCGCAAAGAAATTGCAAGCCCTGAGAAAAGAACATTCAGGTGAAAAACTGTGGTAAAAGTTGGAATAAAATTTCTGGAAGGGCTTTGGTATGAGGGTTTGGAACTTGAATTTGAGATGCAAGGGTTCATGAAGTCGGTAAAAAGGTATGAAGGTGTTGTGAGGAGTATGGGAAAGTAAGATTGATTGTTTCTAGTGGTTTCAGATTGAAGGAAAATGATTGGGAAGCTGGAAAAGCAGAGAACTAAATGTTTTGTCAGTGGTGTTGTTAAGAGATGATCTTAGAAATGGTGTGTGAAAGATTGTGGCAGAGAATCATAATGTGGAAGAGGTGATAGTTTGGGAGGAATGTGGGGAACTTCCACACATCCAAGGAAAGCTCTTACTTGAGCTTTAGAGGTTTTTAGCTTGTCTAAAATATAAGAGTCAGGTAATGCAAGAAGAAATGCTTTTTTGCTGATGCATAGTAACTGATTATGGGAAATAGGCAGGGAGGAAGCTCAGGTTGAGAAGCAGCCAGATCTGAAAGCCAATATCAGCGGTGGCATTTCAGGAAAAGTGATACTTTAATTCAACATTTCATTTCCCCCCAGGATTGTAGTCTTCCCCCTCTGAGGCATCCCAGCATGGACTGTGCTCATGATGTTGATAGCTCCTAATATCAGCCCCAGAGGAGGGAGTCTGCCAGTGGGGGAAGGGTAAGTATCTGTTTTTATTAAATATTGAATAGTTTTCTGAAGTTTTCAGTATTCATATTTTATGTCCAATAGGGTATAAAATAAGAGTCTGAAAAGAAAATTTTAGAAAACTGAGTATTGAATAAAAACAGATTTACCTTTTCCATATAAGCAGACTCCCTGTCCCATCCTATGTCTTTAGTGGTAGTGTCTTCATAGAGGCTTATTCACCTTCGTAGAGGTGATACCTTGGAATGCAAAGGCTCATATTCCAGAGAGATGTTTACATTAGTCTATGGGGTCTTTTGTGGCACTAGGAAAGAATAAAAGGTTTCTTTAAAGAAAATACAGGTTTTGTGCTGAGGTTCACTGATACAGGTATGGGACTGAGTATTGGGAGAATTTTAATTTTTACTCTATTTTAAAACCTGCATCCTGCATCTATCTGAAATACTTGATGTTTAAGACAATTTCAAACCCACAAGCACTATTCTTTTTTCTTATTTGTTGAAAGAAATTTAAATCTTGTCATGCTTTTCTCAAGAGTGGGAACATTAGTCCCAGTGCTCTTGACAAACTTTCCAAGTTGGGTAAGAGCATTCTGCCTACTTAAATTCTCTAGCAGGTATAAGTGGATATATATTCTTCCATCCCTGCCTGAAACTGCTGTATGAAGAACTTGATACACACTGTTCAACTGTGATACGTGTCAGAGAAAGCTGCACATCAGTGGCAGATGGGTTGTTGTGCCACCTGCATCAATGCCTGGTGTTCTCACTCAGGGGCATTTGGCATGTACCTAAACCTGTGCTATCTGTTCTGTGGACAGACGACTTCAGTCTGCATGGCTACCAAGCTTTCTGGGCAGTAAAATCACATACGCAATTTGTTAACAAGAAATGAGGAAGAGAACATAAATGATCAACATATGTTTGCTGCAGTAGGTGATATGTAATGCTTTACAAATATAGTAATATTAAAATATCTTTCATGACTTTGTGAAGGTAATTTTTTATTTCAATGCTTGTAGAATATATTGAATAAAACATATTCTTGTCTTTGTGTGACTTGCTAGAGTCTTGAGGAGATCTGTAAAATTTAAATTATTCATTATTTCTCATGATCTTTTGCAATTTCTGAGATGTTTTGGGACGATTGGTCCCTTGATTGGGGAACTCTGACCTTTGGTGGAAAATGGAGGTAATTCCTGCTTAGGAAAAGCACAAATGCCTATCCTGCTTAGGATAGGCACAAAGCTATCCAGTGCAGTCCCTAAAGCTGTCGTATTTCAGTGAAGAGGCAAGTCTTCAAGGCCAGATAATGCTCAGCTTAAGTGTTTTTGAATCTGTGCTGATGGGAGCACTTCATACAGTCCCATTGGAATAAGGGATTCTGTGGGTTGGTTATACCTAGAAATCAACTAGACCTGAGGATATAAGGAACATTACTATTTTCTTTAGTCCTTATATGTGTTATGGGAGTGAAGAATACCTGTTGTAGTTTTAAATCATAAATAATCAACCTCTTGAGGAATGATCATAGAGTCTATATTTTAGGTTAAATGGAGTTAATATGGCTTATGCTTTGTCAAGCCATAGCTTCATGAACAGTTTATTCTAGCAGAGGTCAGTTTGTGCAGCTTTGCAATCAGGAAACTGATCTGCTTGAAAAGGCACCTGACAGAATGGAAAGCTGACTTGATGCCTGTGTAGGCACCCCACAGGGATATACTGTCAGCATGAGTAAGGGGGCAGAGTGAATGGCCAGGAATTGAATGGGGAAAGATGAGGCTATCCCTTCTGGTGCCATCAGGAGCTAGTGCCTGATTATCTGATTATGGTCATTTTCATATTAAAAAACCCCAACTGGCCAACAAAAAACTTTGTGATTGGTGAATCAGTGCATACATTGCTTTAAAAATAACTGATATGTTATTGCTGCTATTTAGTTTGTTTAGAGCTTTGTAAACAGAACGTGTTCTTAGGTGATAGAACTCATCACTTAATTACCAACTGTATTTTGTTTTGCTATTTTAACTTTGTCTGAGTAGTAGTCTATACTAACAGTTTCCCTCAGTTAAGTGGCTGTGTAAATACTGTGCAAATTGCTGTGATTCATTACCATCAGGGAGTTATTACAGTGAGGTGATACGATTTAATGCAATCAGTGAAGACTGGACTCAGCGGTAGAATTGTGCTGAAAACTTTCATTGACTGCTCTGGGAGGTCCTTTCTACTGTTGCAGACTCTGACACTGTGCAGTGTTGCCCATGTTCATTTTCCCAGTGTTTTTGAAAAAAAAATACTTAAAGAGTGCACTAAGTTGTTCTTAAATTTTTATTACTGAGTTTTATATAAGACAGTGCAACTGCACTATCATTGCTTTTAGTTTTAATAATTATTACATTACACATCCCCTCCTCCAACCTTCTATGCAGATCAATCTATCATGGATGTTTTGAAGCATAAATGTTTTCTGGAAGAATTATTATTTTGGACAATAAAATATGAATTTCCACAGAAGATGGTGACTTTCTTACTCAACATGCTGCCAGATCAAGATTATAAGGTATTTGCCTTGCTTCATTCAAACTTAAATGTCTTTTCACATACTTAGTGTGTATTCTGCCTTGCATGAGACCACATATGTTCATATTTGAATAATAAGCAGTAAAGTAATGCAGTCCTTTTACCTTGTTTTGAGTATTTCGTTAGAAGGTCTAAAGTGTATAGTATTTGAAGAGAGATGTGGACAAAGCAAGATAGGTAATTCTGGAGCAGCAGTGTTGATTTTGTGCTCATGGTTTGTTTTTTCCTTTTTGGCTTTTAGTGCATATTTGCATGTTCTGGATTTTGTTTTATTTTACTTTGTAAATTGGATTTTTATCAGCACTAAATGATTTGCTAGTGTGGTATGACTGGTAAATAATTGCAGTGACTTCATTCCTGTTGCAACTGTTGTGGTAGGCAGTGGTTTCTCTATATAGGCCATTACAGTTCGAGTGTTCTTGCTGCAGCTAATGCCCTAGGTGATTTTGGCAGCATTTCAGGTGCTTCCTTACAGAGTTTTGCAGTTGTCCATACCAAGTGTCTCCTGGCCTGGAGTCATGGGGACTGGTTGTCATTTTCCTGTTTTAAATCTTGGTGTGCAGCCAGGTTTGGTTGTTTGCTCTAGACGTTCCCAAGACCTGGCATACATAGCAATCAGGCTTAACATTTTGCTCTGATCATGTCATACGTTTGAGCCACACAAATATTTTGGACCTTCCCAATCTTTGCTGGGAAGCAAAGATCAAGAAATGCTGAAGTCCGGGCATGCAGATTTCTTCAGAAATGTCTGTTTATAATGGGACAGCCCTGTGTCCTTGCCCCCTTAAAACCTTGCTGTATCAAAGCGGAGGATATGAAGATAACTTGCAAGGAAGAAAAAGAGAAGATGCGTGCCTTCAGCAATACTCTGTCCATGTCAAGACGGCATATTGATTTGGGATACCAGCATGGATTCATCTTGGTCTTGGATTCAGCTAATATATGAGGAGACGTGAGGACTTCGTAACTGATGATCCCTTGCCATGAAGCCTGAATTCTTCTTGATTTTGGAGGTCCACATGGACATCCAGTTCTCCTGGTCTGTTGACAGCTAAACTCCTGCATGTGAAAATACCCAGCTGCTAGCAGCATGGGGTGGAATCTGGTAAGTGTTTCTGTGTTTACCTTTTTACTATACCCTGTAATAACAACAACTTCTAATGATCATGGGATCGTTTTTCCTTTGACAACAAGCCACAGTCTTCAGTGGCTCTCTTCATTGTGTTCATAATCTCTCTTCACTATGTACTCAGAATGGAGACTCTGGTATATTTGTTTTTTTCTACTGTCTGCCACCTTTATCTGGAAGTAATCCATCTTCCACCCACCAGTACTGTATGTTCAGACAAAAGGATTATTTAAATCCCCCCCCCCCCCCCCCCCTTTTTTTTTTTTGTTACCAATGTCATATTGTGTTTGATTAAACAGTTAATTCCTATGTACAAACTTTATTACTAGCACAAATCCGAAATATTTGAAATCTTTCAGAATCTTTTTGAATCTGTGTTTATTTTAATTGCTGTGATTGTCTAAAATGTATTTTTCAGTAGTAAGGTAACTCAGAGCAGGAAATCCATTGCACAACAATACTAGGGAGGCAGTAACACTATTTTTTCCCAAGATACCTGTGCTTTGTTGCAAAACTGTCAATGATGCATGAATTTTAAACATGTCTATGAGGATTGTGGCAAATTTACAAGGAGTGGCTCTGCCTTTTACATGTATACAGAGAGAACATACCATTTTGGGATGAATTAGAAGAATGTTCTATCTTTCAAGCTTCCATTTAGCTTTTATGAAGGAAAAGCTTGTTTGCTGTTTAATCACGTTGCATTCTCAAACAGTAGGAACACCTGTAGGGATATAAACTGTTCCAAGTGATTTCTAAGCTTTCTGTTACTTTCTCCCATCTCATCTACACCACGTGTACTCTCTTAATTTTTTCTGTCTCTGCTCTTTTGCAATTTGTCTGATTCTTTATGAAGCTGATTTAGCTCATTAAATCAGCAGAATTATGCTAGGTTGTTTTTTTGATAAACTGAGTGAGCTAGCTAGACACAGAGCACAGAGCAGGCTGTCTGCATGCTCTGAAATTTTTGAAATTTCTGAACTATAGCATAAGCATAGTAGAGCTGACTGAATCCACCATGCCCTATGCAGCAGTCAGTGACCCACCGGCAATCTCTGTACAGATTTATTTTTAAATAGCAAAACAAACTAATTTTTTAGGACTGTCAGTATTGAAAAGAGGTGTTGAAAGGGGTGGGCTAAAACCCTGGGTTAACTAGCTCTTCCCTTCCCCTCCCCACTTTTACATATGAGAGAGACAGTACAACAAACAGTTTGGTCTTTGCCTTACAGGATTTGTGCCTGAGGCATCCCTTCCAGCACTCTGACATTTGAAGCTTGGAAGACTTACAAGTGAAGAAGAAGAAAACGGAAGAGAAATTTACAAGAGCTTCCAAGAAATAAGAGGTGTTATGGTCTGGACAAGGTTTTTGCAAGAGGAAAAACAAAAGGCTAGAGAAATTGGACTGATGTTCATGTGACCAAAGAGAAGGCAAAAAAGGGGCTGGTGATAAAGAGGAAGCTGATTGAAGAGTGTAAATCATTCAAGAGCAGAGCCTTGCTGAAATATGGAATACTAGAAGTAGAGAAATGCAAAAGCATCTGGTAGAGATAATGAATCAACAAACATAATTATCAGAAATGCTGTGCCTCGTCAGGCACCTCCCATAGAGAATATTGAGGCAGTTATTACAGCAACAGGACTTCACTAACCCCAGGATATGCTGTTGTACAAATTCTGTAGAACAGCTTTTCTATAGGAGACTTGATTTTAGCACAGCTTTCACCTGACAGAACTATATTTTTCTTTTCATTGAAAACATAACCATGGGAGATGCAAGTTCTAACTGAAACACAGGGTTGATGTTAGGCTCCTGAAATTTCTGGGATTGTTGTGGTGCCACCAAGAGGAAAGGCCAGATGAAAAAATTAACTTTGTTTTTGAATGGACTATAAATTTAGAAGCTGCACAAGATCATAGAGAGTAAGTCAGTGAAGGTAATTAAATATACAGAAAACCTGTCTTAGGAAGCTACTTCTTGCAAATGGCTGGAAGCTGAGTAATTATTTGGAAAGACGTGTTATGTCAATATCTTCATTCTTGCTCTATTCTATGTATTTCCTTAGTTGTGTATACAGCTTTGGCCACTCAAAGACAAGATACTGACCTGGATGGACTGATTTGACCTACTATGGCTGTTTTTATGTATGGACTGCCGTTTACCACAGTATTTCGGCATTTTAACTTCTAGAAATTAGTTTAGTTTCTTCCTCTCAAAATTGGAAAGGATTACATTTGTTTGTTTAACTTCCAAGTGAATGTAGGAGTAAAGCTTATGTTTTTTCTTTATTTATGTGTATTACAGAATCTCTATCAGTAAACTATTGATAGTGAATCTAAGGTACTTTCAGAAATGCATTATTGTATATGAGTGAGGCACAAAAAGTTTTGATGCGTGCTGATTTAAGATAAGACAAATTTTGGATTTTTTATTTTAAGGGAGGACCATGTCCTTGCAGTCAACTTGAATTGAGAGTAGTGTGTAAAACAAGTAAAGCATAGTTCCTACATCACAGAACCTGAGAATCCTTTTTAAACATAATACAATGTGAGGAAGTAATGTATAAATAAAGTATACTTTTTTTGCTAACAGCATTAATAATATACTAGCTTCTTAAAATACCAGGGGTGTCATTTGTGTTTGAGCCTTTACATTGATAGTGTATACATCTTTATGCTTGTTATAAGTGTCATTGCCAGTGATTACAGTTGTATCAAGCTTTAATTTAAGGGAAATTATATAAGTTGTTCTGCCTCGGAATACCAGAATGATATTGTGTTAACTCTTCATGAATATTGTGAATACATTGTTCCGAAAAGGATTTAGCTGAAAACGATTGCCATTGTGCTGGGTGCTATATACAAAAGACCCTTTCAATTATTATACAGGTTTTCATCATTGTGAAGCAGCTAAAGGAAGGCAAGTTGAGCAGTGTTGTAGTGTTTCCTGTGGTGACATCCCCATCCCCACTCACCCTAGTCCGTTTTTTTGCTTGAGCAACTTGATTTTTGAGGATATTTTTGGAAGAAGCACTCTTTGTGCCCAACAGCAGTGTTATGGCATCATGATATTTTTGGAAATATTTTCTAAATGAGAATAACATGGTACTGCAGCAATAAAAACATGGGAGTGCTGAGTCTGAGGCAGGTAACCTGAAGTAGTGGTTTGTAAAGTCTGGTGCAAACACAACTGCCTGAAGGTGGTTTTAAAATTTCTGATTTTATGCTTATGAAAGATTACCAGAAGGAATAGACAGGGGATTTTAGACTTTGAGCTGAGAATTTTCATCACTACTCAGTTGGTATTATCTCTTCTTATTAAGCCAAGCAAGTCCAGATGGTGTTAATTCAGAACTTGAAGTACTAAGTGAGAAGTGATTTCAAAGCTGGCAGATATGCGCACAAGTTTATGCAGTGCAGGAGGTTGGTTTACAATGCAGTTTGAGGTTAATGGAGTGGGACCAGAAATTGTATTTTATATATATGTATCGATACATATAAATACGTTTCTGGTTTAAAAAAACCCAGACAGTTATATAAAGAATAGCAAAGCTTGCTAATTATTTTATTTAGGAGAAAGCACTGAATATTTATTAAAAAAATATGGGATGTTATGGTAGTAGTTGAGATTCAGTGTTGAAATGTCATCCTTAACAGATGAAGGAAAACCTTACTCCATGGGTAGATGAGTGCAAGTGATAAGTTAAGACAGCTTTACTAGGCACCACTAATCTCACTGTTCATACTGTATTGTTTTGGGACATTAGTCCATGTTTTAGGATGTAAAAATTTAGGATAAATTCCTTATTAGAACTTCACTGCTTTCACAGATATGCTGAGACCTTATATTCCTGGTTTCATAATTTCTGTGGTTTTTTTAGTGTGGAAAGTATAGAATGAGAAGATTAGATTCTAGGATAAGGTAATAAAATTGGAGGCATAAATTACCCCTCTCTATAGACAGGTCCTTTCATGTGGACTGTTTCTAGAACCTAGACATAGGATAGGTAGACCATCAATTTTGGTTTGTCATGGCAACTTGTCTTTCCCAGGGTATGTTGATTGTACTTTTGTAAAGTGATATTTTATAATGAAAGAAAGCTATAATTCTCGTATGGTGCTTGTTAACGTCTACATTTCTTTATAATTTGCAGATTGCTTTTACCAAAACTTTTGTTCAGCATTATGCTTTTATTATGAAAACACTGAAGAAAAGCCATGAATCAGACACAATGTCTAATAGAATTGTGCATATCAGTGTTCAGTTGTTCAGCAATGAAGAACTAGCACGCCAAGTAACAGAAGAATGTCAGCTGCTGGATATTATGGTCACTGTTCTGTTGTATATGATGGAAAGTTGCCTTATTAAAAGTGAATTGCAAGGTAGGTTGACTTCTTTCCATGGATAATAAATTGATTATAGAGAAAATTTAATGTCTTTCTTTGGTAGCCAATCCACTCCCTTAACCCCTTCCCAAAAATGCACAGGATCTAGCAGTATATGGTAGAGGCTGAGTCTCAAAATTTCTTAGAAGTGTAGTTATCTAGAGTGCTACTGATGTTTTATCCTTTGGTTTGTAGAGTTTTCTTTTGTAGGAATGTTATGTAGTTTACAATACAGAGTATTATCTTGCAGGTGCTTCGTGTGTTGGGTAAAGTGTGTAAACACTATCTGTGAAGCTCTTTTGAATAAGAAATTATATATGCAAATTGACACCTTTATTAATTTTAAAAATATTGTCAAAATATTTCACAAGCTATTTGAAGTATGTAAAATTGTTTTAATTTTTCTCACCTGCGATTGCCTTAATAAAGCTTGATATAATTAGAGGAGAATGATTTAATACTTCATAAATATAATAATTTGATCAAGCTTTTCGTTGACAGAGTGGCAATTTGAATTTGAAGTAGTGTACACTCTGTAACTTTTCTAGTGAAAACAGTTGTCCTGTTTCTACCATCCTTGTTTTACCTGTCCTTACCTGAAAATGGTGGCACAACAAATCTTCTGTTTTTCAGGCTTTCACGTACCTAACAGTCCACAGACCTCTCAGCCTTCTTTATCCTAGCTTGATTTTGAAAACACTCTCTGCTGCTGCTAAATAAGTACCATTAACTCCTGCATTAAATTGTAATTTTTCTTGTCTGAAGTATCTTTTGCCTCTGAGTCCACACTATGTATAGCCTAATACAGAATGAATCCTTAAATGGGAAATGCTCACTCATCTAGCTGTAAAAAGTACCCTCATTCATCTGCAATTCAACGTGAGAAATTCTTTTGTTGCCCTACAGAGATTGCTGTACAGTATTGGAAGAAGAATGTTGAACCTTTCTCTTTAGCAGTTTGTACACCAAGTGACTTTTGCTAAACTAATGCCATATTGGTGGAATGTCATTTAAAACTACCTTTAAGTGGTTGTTTTTACTGTTGACCAGTATGGGATGTTGCTAGCGTGGCGTTAAGGTTCTGTAAGGGATCAGAATTTGCAGCAAGCAGCAAAAGGCTGTGACGGTGAGTTGACATTCTCTGAAGAAACTTCCTGGTAATTAATTATATAAGCTGGAGCTGGTAAGTTAAATAACATCAGTTATATTTGTGATAGATTTGAGATAGCTGCTCCAGGGGTAAGTCTTTTCTCACAAGACATGAAGTGACCCGTTTCCTTTCTCCGGCACCAGTGATTTGTCTTAGCTAAGACTCCATCATGGAATCTGTCCAGTGCTTTTCAGTGTTTTCACAACACTTCCTCCTCACTGCTTTAAATATGAGGGGTTGGACATACTGTAAATTGACAGAAAAATTTTAGTAAAGGACTTTGTTTTTTTCCCTCTCATACTCTCTTTGGCCTTCTTTTGCAGTTCTGTGGGCTTGTATCTTGCGTTTAGTTCAAGGTATCTCTTAGGATGCTGGAAATAGTGAGAAGTCTGTTAGAAATCTGTGCTGGTGAGACAAAATTGAGAAGAATTCTGTTTGTGCAGCTGGTGTAAACAAGTAGGTTGTTTAGTATCTGAATGAGACAAAGTTTACAAATCCAGCCAATGGATAGGTGGAGAAAACATGTTGGAGACTAGGAAGGAGAACATGGAGTAGGGATTGTGTCTGCTAAGGGCATGTTTATTTTGCATTGCTCGCAGATACTAGTTGTCTTTTAGACAGCTGACACCTGTTCGAAGTATACAGTTTATAAAGGATGTTTGTGGATGCCAAGCGGCAAACTGCGTTCCTGAAACAGAGAGTTGACCTAGGGGCTGTGTTAATGCCAACTTCAAAAGTGGTACTAGTTCAGCTTACCTGTCTCACACATGGTGTGAAAGGATGAGGAGGTGAAATATGGATGCAGATGATAAAACTGGCTCCCTAGGAAGATTTATGTCCCTATGCTCTTAGAGAGCTTTTTCCTCTCTGTCAGGACTTTTCTCCTAGTGGACTTTTCGTGGGAGAAGCATTTATACCCCAAGGAAAAAGTTTGGGTAACTGTCCTTTAAAAAAAAACAAAACAAGCCACAACTCTTTTCCTTTGGCTGACCTTACATTAACCCTGTCTTGTGAGTACTCTGAGTAAGAGGCAATGCCACTGCAAGTTTGAAGTAACTCTGGATTTGTCTGATCTGTACTGGGGCAGGGAGTCAGCAACGTGTATCTGTTGGCTCTTTGCAAAGTCCTTCAGCAGTTCAGGCAGAACCAACCGAGATATTATCCTGTTCTTGCATAGGCAGTGTGAGCACATGGGAACCAGGCAGCTGAGCTACCAGACCTAGTTTCCTTTCCTCGCAGATGTTCCAGATAATAAGAGTGATATTCAAGAGTATTTGATCAACTGTGGCAGAGAAGTTTGAGAAGCTGCACAGAGTGCTTCTGGCTTCCTGTTCCTTCCAGTGGTTCAGTGTAATAGATAGGAGTCAGTCTTAAGAAATGGAGCTCTATATTACCTCGTGGTAACAAGGAGGTATCTGTTCATAGTTGTGTGCAGTTCAAACAGAATATTTGTCAGGATGAAATCTGATTCATTTTTCTGACTGTGCTGTGTTCTTGAGAAGCAAAACTTGTCAAGATCAAAATACTGCATGACTTCAAGTTAGAAAACCTGTTGACATAACAGGCAAGAGAGCAGTTTTTGGTTTTGTTTTTGTTTTTCCTGGTACCAATAAACCAAATAAATAATTAACCTTGGAGTAAAAAAAAAAAAAAGTCCAGTAATTACAGCAAAGGGGAGGAAAAAAGCTTACATATATACCAAAGGGAACCATTCTAGATACAGATATGCCTCATCATCTGGAGGCTGGAGTCTCTTAATAAGTGTCTTTTTAGCTGTGGTGATGCCATATTGCTTATGACCTTTTCACTGTGTAAAGGGTAGCTACAAGGGTCCTTCAGTGCATTTGAACTGGACAAGAACCATACCATCCCCAAGGCTGATGATTGTCAAATAAAGAATTTTCTTTCTTCTGTTTGCTCGAAATAGAACAGCAACTGACAGATGGGTGTTGGAAGTTCTTTCCCTTGGATTGTGATTCCAGGACCAATCCTGTTTCCCTTCGGGTCTTTCCGGGGTCCCTCTTACGAAAATCAAATAGATATATTTAACAGTTGTAGACGATGTACTTCTGTGATTTGTGGAGGAGACTTCTACCACCCCACCCCCCCCACCAGTTTCTTTTCCCCTTCTTCTGGGAACCTTCTGTCCCAGGAAGGCTGTATAAACCCTCTCTCTGTCCCATGTTCAAAGTGGAAATGCTTTTCTCTGCTGTCCTCAGACTCAACACGGCAGTCTAGGTTTTGATCACCAGATTCCTTTTTGCATGCTGTAAGGTTGTTTGGTCGCTGGAAGTGTGTCAAATTCAAAATAGATTTCAGATGTTCATAATAGAAATTTTGTTGTTTGGTCGTCTTATACTTCTTAAGAGTATTCAAAAGAGGCATCGCAGTGATGGTTTTACTAATGCACTGCTGTTCAAAGGTTGCAATATTGTTCAAAGTATGTGTGTCTCCTACTGAGTGGAATGAGTCCATGATGAGAAAACAGCCTCAAGTACCAGAAAGTAACTGTTCTTCTTTTCTGCAGTTGTGTGTGTGATCACAACGTTACAATAAATCTTAATTTTTATTTTGCCTTATCGTGTAAATTTGCTTTAAAATTACAAGAAGAAGAAGAAAAAAGTTGTGGTTTTTACTTTTTTTTTCTTTTTTAAATCTAGATGAGGAAAATAGTTTACATGTTGTGGTGAACTGTGGGGAAGCACTACTGAAGAATAATACTTACTGGCCCCTTGTTAGTGATTTTATAAACATACTTTCACACCAAAGCGTGGCAAAGAAATTTTTGGAAGATCATGGTCTTTTGGTAACATGGATGAATTTTGTATCATTCTTTCAAGGTATGTGAATTTATAATTGGTCCTAATACAAGGATGTTAAGACAGCTTAATGTTCATAGTAGCAAAATCCTTACACTGCTGTGTGTAAATATTTAATTCATTAGTATTCTATTAAGTCTATGTTCCTGAAAGAGAGCAGTATATTCTAGAAAACAAGTAGATTTGAAAATTATCTAGTCGATCTTTGTCCTACCAGGTGTGTGAATGTGTAACGCTAAAAAAATTGCATTCCACTTAGCCCTAGTTAAATATTTATTTGCATAACTCTGCTTAAATCTTTGAAGGTATGAATTTAAATAAACGAGAATTAAATGAGCATGTGGAGTTTGAATCACAGACATACTATGCTGCCTTTGCTGCTGAGCTGGAAGCCTGTGCCCAGCCAATGTGGGGTCTTCTATCACACTGCAAAATTAGGGTAAGACTACATTTCTCTGTCATTGTTCTTGGTTTTATTCATGATGTATTGTAGAGTTCTCAAATCTGAAAGGTCTATCTGTTTTGTGTTTGAAAAGTCTTGGGTTTTGTTGTCTTTGTCTACCAAATTCATAAAACTGTGGTTGACTTAGATTCTGTGTATAGTGAGTATAGAATTCGTGCTTGTACCTAACTTACTGTTTCCAGAACTGGGATTACAAGTTCAGGATGTGTACAGTCATTCCATATGAGTGTACGTAGGGAATAACTTCTAATGTGATGACGAACTTGATAAATGTCTCTGAATCATCCTGCATTTGTTCGGGGGAAAGGAGATACATAAGTCATAGAATGATAGAATGGTTTGGTTTGGAAGGGACCTTAAAGATCATCTAGTTCCAACCCCCCTGCCATGGACAGGGACACCTTCCACTAGATCACATTCCTCAAAGCCTCATCCCACCTGGCCTTGAACACCATCAGGGATGGGGCATCCACAGCTTCTCTGGGCAACCTGTTCCAGTGCCTCACCACCCTCACAGGAAAAAATGTCTTCTTAATATCTAATCTAAATATACCCTCTTTCAGCTTGAAACCATTACCCCTTGTAAAACTATTACACTCCCTTATAAAAAAAAAGAGTGCCTCCCCGTCTCTCCTGTAGGCCCCCTTTAGGTGCTGGAAGGCTGCTATAAGGTCTTCCTGGAGTGTTCTCTTTTCTAGGCTGGACAACCCCAGCTCTCTCAGCCTGTCGTATGAGAGGTGCTCCAGCCCTCCGATCACTTTTGTGGCTCTCCTCTGGACCCACTCCCAACAGGTCCATGTCTTTCCTGTGCTGAGGACTCCAGAGCTGGATGCAGTATTCCAGGTGGGGTCTCATGAGAGCAGAGTAGAGGGGGAGAATTGCCTCTCTCGACCTGCTGGTCGTGCTTCATCTGATGCAGCTCAGGATACGATTGGCCTTCTGGGCTGCAAGAGTACATTGCCAGGTTATGTTGAGCTTCTCATGCACCAACACCCCCAAGTCCTTCTCCTCAGGGCTGCTCTCAATCCATTCTCCTCCCAGCCTGTATTTGTGCTTGGGATTGCCCCAACCCACGTACAGGACCTTGCACTTGGCCTTACTGAATCTTGTCAGGTTTGCATTGGCCCACCTCTCAAGCCTGTCAGGGTCCTTCTGGATGACGTCCTTTCCCTCCAGCATGTCCACCGCATGACACATCTTGGTGTCATTGGCAAACTTGCTGAGGGTGCACTTGATCCCGCTGTCCGTGTCTCCAACAAAGATGGTAAACAACACCAGTCCCAGTACCGACCCCTGTGGAAGATCACTTGTCACTGGTCTCCACTTGGACATCAAGCCGTTGACTGCAACTTTTTGAGTGCAACCATCCAGCCAATTCCTTATCCACTGAGTGGTCCATCCATCAAATCCATGTCTCTCCAATTTACAGTGAGGACCGCGTGGGACAGTTTTGTGTGGGACAGTGTCAAATGCTTTGCACAAGTGCAGGTGGATGATGTCAGTTGCTCTTCCCTTATCCACCAACACTGTAACCCCATTGCAGAAAGCCACCAAATTTGTCAGGCATGATCTGCCCTTAGTGAAGCCATGTTGGCTGTCAACAGTCACCTCCTTATTTTCTATGTGCCTTCGCATAGTTTCCAGGAGTATCTGCTCCGTGATCTTGCCGAGCACAGAGGTGAGACTGACTGGCCTGTAAGCTCCCCCGGTAATCCTTTATTCCCTTTTTAAAAATCGGGGTTATGTTTCCCCTTTTCTAGTCAATGGGATTTCACTGGACTGCCAGTGACTTCTCAAATATGATGGATAGTGGCTTATCAATTGCATCTGCCAGTTCTCTTGGGACCCACAGATGCATCTCAAGTCCCATGGACTTGTGCACCTTCAGGTTCCTCAGATGGTCTCGAACCTGATCTCCTCCAGTGGGCAGTTCTTCATTCTCCCAGTCCCTGCCTTGGCCTACTGTGACTTGGGCGGTGTGGCTTGAGCACTTGCTGGTGAAGACTGAGGCAAAAAAGTCACAGCCTTCTCCATATGCCAGATAACCATGTTTCCTGTTTCCTTCTGGAGAGGGCCCACATTTTCCCTAGTCTTCCTTTTATCATCAACGTACCTGCAGAAGGTTTTCTTGTTGCCCTTGACGCCTCTGGCCAGATTTAATTCTCTCAGGGCTTTAGCTTTCCTAACCTGATCTCTGGCTGCTCGGACAATTTCTCTGTATTCCCCCCGGGCTACCCGTCCTTGCTTCCACCCTCTGCACGCCTCCTTTTTGTGTTTGAGTTTGTCCAGGAGTTCCTTGTTCATCCATGCAGCTTTCTGGCATTTATGCCTTACTACTTCTTTGTTCAGATGCATCGCTCCTGAGCTTGGAGGAGCTGATCCTTGAATATTAGCCAGCTTTCTTGGGCCCCTCTTCCCTCCAGGGTTTTATCCCATGGTACTCTACTGAGCAGATCCCTGAAGAGGCCAAAGTCTGCTCTCCTGAAGTCCAGGGTAGTGAGTTTGCTGTGCACCCTCCTCACTGACCTGAGGATCTTGAAATTCACCATCTCATGGTCACTGCAGCCAAGGCTACTCTTGAGCTTCACGTTCCCCACCAGCTCCTCCTTGTTGGTGAGAACAGGGTCCAGCAGTGAACCTTTCCTCATCTTCCCTAATGTGATTATAGTGTTGATTGTGTCTGCAAGTAGACACTTCATTGTGAATGGGGGATGCAGTAATTTATGGGTTTGTGTTTCACTAACAACCCGAAGTGAAAGCCTCTTATATTCTGACATCTCATGGTCACCTAAGTAGAGCAAAGTGTTATTAATATTTTCTGGACTGGAAATTATATTAAGTTGTAGTAAAAATTGAATCTATTAGCTACACGAATACTTTTTATTGTGAAAAAACTTTTTATTGTGAGTTCATGGTTATTTTTATGAAATAAATACACCTTTAAAATTAGCTTGTTAAGATAATATAATAGCCATGAGACAGCAACACCTGAATTGAACTGCACGCTGAAAAAATGTGCACGAGCATGCCACGCAATTTTAAACCAGTTTAAATCAGGCAGTTACAAAAGCTTTTCCATGATGTGAGTTATGCTGATACATTATGAATATATCAATTTATGAGTATAAATTATCTTTTGACAACTGAATTACAACTTTTGGCTTTTTGAAGCATTCCTTTCCTTTTAGTTTATGAATGGGAAGGTCTGCCTTTTGCTTAAGGCCTGTATGATGCCTTGCTTCATCTGTCAGCAAGACAGTCATGTTTTTACCCCCGTTTGAACCCTTTGGTCATTCTCAATAAATCTTGAAAGAGTTTTAGGAATTTCATTTCTTAATTGTCGTACTTGTTTAGTGAAAACTGGTGGGTGGGAAGGGATTCCAGCTCGTGTCCTGCAGTAGAGGAAAGCCGGGGGAACCTGGCCACCATAGAGGATGGAGCTGCAGCAGGGTGGGAGCATGGCTGTTTTATTTCCTGATGAGAAAAGGTGTCTGACTGAGCTATTAGGCACTTGCACAGCTGCTGTCTGGGCAAAGAACTACTGGTTTTTGCATGAAGAAGTGTGTCATAGATATTCTAGGAGTGTGAGGCAGGTCTGGAGTCTGTGTTTAGGGGGAAGGGAAGATTAAAGGAAAAGTCAGTTAAGAAATGAGGCTTTGTAAGTTCTGCTGATCACAGGGCAATTTGGTTTAGCTCCCCTCCCACCTTCCTTTCTTGCACATCACTGCATTGCTGCTAGAAGGCAATGCACAGCTCTAGTCTTGAAGTACATTATTTAATCTGAAAGATATTGTAGATTTAGGGTATTGTTATAGGGTTATATCATAAAATCATAACAAGGTTTGCTTATTGTTTAAATCTATGCACTGTTGTGTTATCATTGCATTTCAGGTGCAGTGTGATACCAAACTGTATGGACCTTCCCATAGATAAAATTTACAGGGCATTCCTTTTGAATGCATGGAATTTTTTTTTTTTTTAATGCTTGCCTCTCTAAATTTTTGGTAAAAATAAATGGATAAATCAAACAGTAGGCACTAGAACCAGCTGACCATTCTGAAGATGCCTTAATTCTCACCATTGAAATGATCGTCTTTTAGAGTAACAATGAAACCATCCTAATACTTCTCAATTTCCGTATGATGAGGGCATAAATTATGTACTGTAAAAATATTCTTGAAATAATATTTATTTGTAGTAGGAAAACAGTGACACTTACTTAAAACTGTTTTGGCTCATGTAGTACACTGGTTTCTCTTACTGCAGGAAACGCAGGAATACACACGAAACGTTGTCAGATACTGTCTTGAAGCACTTCAGGACTGGTTTGATGCTATCAACTTTGTAGATGAGGTAAATATCCTTAGTGAATTTAAGCAAAGTACTGTGAAAATCTGATTAAACTTCAGAGGTGATACACTTCCCCCTCCACCCCTCAATTAAATCCTAATTCTAGGTACTGATTGAAAAAGCCTTGCTGAAATTAGGATTTGTGGTTAATAGTTGGAATGTTATGTCCTAGGATCCTTTATTTGTAGAGTCCTGATGATTTAGATTTGCTGGTGCAAGCTTAAGCGGTGTGAGTGTGAATGAAGAGCTGAAGCAATGGCAAAACAGAAGTCGTCTTCTGTTACAGTAGTGGGGAGCAGCTTTGCCACCTTAGCAAGCAATTCTGTCAATCAATTCAGAGTGTCATTAGCTGTAGCATCCTGAATAAGGGAAATTTCTGAATCATCAGAAAGTGCAGGGGAATTAAGTAATACTAGGTTAGCGGAAAGTAAGTCCATCAAATGAAGACATGTAAGATACTGTTCTTCGTGGTTGTGACAAAGACATTTGTAGGTTTGGTTTTTTAATATATGATATTAAAATATCTTTATTTTACTTTCAGCCAGCTCCTAACCAGGTTACTTTTCATTTGCCACTGCACCGTTACTTTGCCATGTTTTTAAGTAAGGTAAGCACGTGTTTTAGTCACCCAGAAGATGGAAATTCCCCGTTGAGTGATTGTTCAGTACAGCATGTGCTTGCTTTTGTTTCTAGGCTGTCAAATGCCAGGAACTAGATCTGGATACTATCTTGCCAGATCAGGAGATGCTGATGAAACTAATGATTCACCCACTTCAGATTCAGGTACGGGCAGACTTCTGACTTTGATGCAGATGTGGAGATATGCAACAAAAAAAATTGCTGTCTGATTCTTTTAACTCCAGTCATTTAAATGTATTTAGAATTATTTAACAAGGGGGACTGTGTCTTAATTGTGGAATATCCGAATAAGCCATTTGTGGCAATAATAACTAGAATATACTCAGTAGATAGGATAGACTATTTTTTTCCCTTCTATTTACAAAATATGTGTCACTACTATCATCCTCTGAGAAGTATGATAATAATATTAACTGTAGTACTCTCAAAAGGGTAGAAGGAACCAGCCCTTTGAAAACAGGGAATTGCATGTTCATGGAATAGCTACCAATGGAGTGCAAGTTGAGAAGAAACATTAATCTGAAAATTTGGTATTTTAAATTTAGAATAATTTCAAGAATGGATGCACCCTGCAACGTTTTTTTTAATTATAGATTTGTATTTATTTGTATGTGTTAGTGAGCAGTATTTGTAATCACTGCTTTTATATCTGACTTTGTTTTAACCATGATGCCTTCATCTTTGGAGTACTTTTCAAGATTTTAATAAATAAATACATAAATCTCTTCATTGATTTCGGTCACTTTTGTTGTTTGAAATATGCTCTCATATGAAAGTATGGTATCCGTTTCATAAACTTGCAGTGGTTCTTTTTCATCCCTCACTCCCCAGAAGAAGTAAATCAGTATAAGAAAGTATTCTTTTATATAAGGGTGTAGTGTATATGTGGGTGTATGTATATGTGTGATAATATACTGATAATCTGCAAACTTTGAACTGAATAGCTTAATATCTCTGAAATGTTTGTAAATTTTTATTTTATCTGAACAGGCAAGTCTTTCTGAAATTCACAGCAACATGTGGGTTAGAAATGGCCTACAAATTAAAGGACAGGCCATGACTTACGTGCAGTCTCATTTCTGCAATTCAATGATTGATCCTGACATTTATCTGCTGCAAGTAAGTTATGTTTTCTGAGAAGCCAAGCCAATGTTTGTTTACAAACAAACAAACTACTGAACAAGATGAACTTATTCTCTTTCCACAGGTCTGTGCCTCTAGGCTGGACCCAGATTATTTTATTTCATCTGTTTTTGAAAGGTAAGGTTAAAAAATGAATGCTCTTGCTCACTGCTGTGCTAGCTGTTGACTAGTTAATGCCATGTGAGAAAAGGTGCGTGTCTGATATACATCTTCAGTGGTACAACTCTGCCTAGCCAAAGCTAATTTCTAAGGATTCTACTGAAAGAAGTATCTATCTCAAAGTATATCTTTGATTTTACACAGGATTGGCTTTTGATTTACAGTGTAGTACTGAAGCTTAGACATTTGTTTTCTGAGCATCTTTGGGTCTTTTTGAAGTTCTGCACATGTTCATATGCAAGCTTTCAGGATATGCTAGCCTGAAGATGTAGGTAAATAGAGATAAATAAGAGCTGCAATAGTAACAGACACAGGAAGTATGTCTCCTTTTCTAGACAGAGTAAGATAAGGGTTTGAAAACAGATTAATTGGCATTAGCCTTTATATGTTCATAAATGTAGGGCATTCTAATATGGAGTAAATAGCACATTCCATCGGTAGTTAAATAAAAGTCCAAGTTTAAAAATAGCAGAGTTTTCATGTATGTTTGCATGTTACTGCATTATATGCATTTAATTTTTGGTTTTGGTTGGGTTTGCTGTGAATGATATCCTGAGTTTCTCAGTACACTTCACATTGGTGTTCTACTGTTGGAGAATGATGTTTTTTACTTTACTCTTTGCTGTGTAGATTTAAGGTGGTAGATCTGTTAACGATGGCATCGCAGCATCAAAATACAGTTCTTGATTCAGAGCACGAAAGGTCCATGTTGGAAGGAGCCTTAACGTTTTTGGTCCTTCTGTTAAGTCTTCGTTTACATTTAGGTAAGAATCACTGCTTTAGGAATACTTGTATGTAAATAACATGCATGTTCATTTATATTCAACATATGTGATATATTCAATATATGTGATCACATGAAGATTCTGTATCTTTTTCAGAAAGACAGTATGTTTTCTACCTGTTAAGGTTGTGTGTTGTGCAACGTGCTCTTCCCCCCTCTTTTTTTTTTGCTGTGTTTTTATAGCAGTGTGTCATTACTTAATGTACGTATTAAGTTTAACTTGTGTTTAATGACAAATGTATGCTGAATGTATGTTTTAAACTCATGCTGTTTAATGGCTTTTCAAATTTTATTATTCTAGGAATGACAGATGATGAGATCCTCAGAGCAGAGATGGTAGCTCAACTCTGTATGAATGACAGGACACACAGTTCATTGTTGGATCTGATATCCTTGGAATATATTAATTAATGTGCATGAGTGAGAATGACAGGTACCTGGATAGTAGTGGGATTTTGGAGCTTGAACAACATGTTTTAGTTTATGTAATTGTAACAAATTGTGTAAAGGTGTGCTTGCATGTACTTAGCAGCAAAGTCACTTGCTCCAGCTCTAGTTTTTCTTACAAAATATGCAATACTTTGTAATAGTTTTAAATTAGTTTTGATACAAAAAGCTTAATTGCTTTTTTTAATTTTTAATATTTTTTTAGTACTACAAAAGTCTTTTACATGTGAGGTGGAAAGTCTGTTTTCCAGTGACATTGTAGAAAGTTCAGCCAAGCATTGCCTTTATCTGGATCTGAGCCTTTGCTTATGGCTAATTTTCTGCCAGTATAAAAAGAAGCCCCTCTTATATTGGCTTTTGCTATCAGTAGCTCAAAATGCAAATAACAGCAATTCTGAATGCTGCTTTGAAATTAGAGTGAAGTGCATGTGCTATGGGAGAAAGTGTCTTACTTGAAGAACAGCAAACTCTAGGAAGTCTTTCTGTGCAGTGATGTGGTTCATGTCCTCAAACAGCTGAATGCAAATATGCAGGTTTTGCTGCTGTCAATGTATTAAGCTGTGTAGGCAAATTAGGCTTGTGATTTACCAAAAGAGCTTGCAAACCAGGGATAGACATTGAGCAAAATTATTATGAACTGATAAAGATAAGAAAGGAGATTGAGAGTTCCAAATATGTAATAAGAATTATTAACTATTATGATATGACCTTGTAACTCAATCACTGAAGTATGTAAAATAAGCAAATTACTTAAAGCCATTCACTTAAGTGAAGCACTTAACTATGTAAAATAAGTGAACCATTTATACAAGCATTTGATTATTAATGAGCAGAAGTTTCCTTATTTATAATTACTACTTGCGATTTGGGGTAATGTCAGTAGGTCAATTAAGTATTGCTACCAAAAATGAGAAATAGCCAGTTCAAGATGGAGAGTTACTTTTTTGTGTTTGTGGATCCCAAGCTATTTACTTGCTTTTTCTGCACTTAGCTGTAAATGCAAAATGTTCTTGCTATGAAGAGAGCCAAAGTGTTAGTAAATAAAGGCAAGTACAAAAAAATTATATACATAATGGTATTTATTTCTTATTTAATACTTACCTCTTGAGCCAAGCATGTAGCAGTTGTCTTGCTTTAAGAAGTGTAATGTCCTGGCTGTCACTTCAGTAACAGTTACTGTTCTATAGCAGCTGGAGCATACAGACCTCTTGTGGTAAACACAGAGCACTGCGGAAGTGTAGCCTCTGAAATGAGCGACTGAAAATGTCAAGAGGGAAGTAAAATGCTGTGTCCTGAAACTAAGTTATCTTTGCTTTCCTTAATACAAACATTACATTCCAGAAAACCCCAATCCTAAAAGTGGTATTATTCCAGGAAGCTTGAGCTTTGAATCAGTCTTGTCAGCAGTTGCTGATTTTAAAGCTCCTGTTTTTGAACCTGGAGGTTCCATGCAACAAGGAATGTATACACCTAAAGGTATGGTAATCAGTGTCCTCTTATGACATACTCAGTGGTAAGATGCTTAACCAGAGCAGAGGTTTTTTTATTAAAAAAAACTCCACAACAAAAACCAACAAGAAACAACGAACAACAGAAAAACCCCACCAAGCAATGATACCCCCCCCCGCCAAACCACAGAAAAAAACCCAAAGTCAAAACAACCACCACCAAAAACTTGTCATTGTTGTCTGTTGGTTATATGTAAGAACATAGCTAAAGACTGTTAATAGTCTTTAATATTTGATCTAGAGCTAAAATGAGCTTGTCATATTAATCAGGTATCCTTAGGAGGCAAGGGAAAAATGGAGAACTGAAAAACTATGTAATTTGTATTTCACTCATCTGCATAATTTAAATCATTCATATGATTTAAAAAAAAATCTGATGTGCATTCAGTAGAGTTTAGAACTGCTTACACTTGTGAGGTGTCAGTTGTGAAGATATTTCCTTTGAACTTGTCCACATTTTGATTATTAAAGATACTGTGATACATAATTCTTTCTTTTATATTGCTTAATTATCTTAGTAACCTGTCACATTTTTCCCAGTCAGTAGTGAGGGTCTTGAACAAAGGTCAGGCTAGACTGCATGTGGAATATTGTTCTGTAATTCTGCAATCCATACAGTGCAAAAATGACAGGTTTCTTCCCTTGACCAGCTTGCCATCTAAATTGGACTCAACATAGTGTTGGTGTATCAAAGGAGAGGAAGAATTTAAGAACTCAGTGTTCTGTTAGTTTCCTGTCACTGAGCAGATCAGCCTGTAGGAATCTGAAATGCTTCATGTGCTCTGGTTATGCTTCAGCTCATGGCAAAGCTGAGGGGGATTAACTCCTTACTCCCCCGGGTACCTCCCTTGAGAACTGACAACCATTCGGTTTGTAGGCTGTGTTCTTTTGTGAATTTTTTTGTTGTTGTTAATGTAGGAACTAATACTGTACTAACTTGTTTGCCACTTTTTGTACTGGGAGATTGATGAGTCACTGAAGCTCTTCCTTTTGTAAAAATTAACAGTCAGTGAAGTAATTTTGTGAAACTAAAATATTGGGAATTGATTTGTTCTGGTTCCTTGATGTGTAATTGGGCAGCTTAACACCTATGTATTTAAAATAGCTTTATTTAATGTTTTGTAAGTTGCATTTCCTTATGTCATGTCTGGTTTCTAGAGCTTGTGACATGCTGGTCTTTTTCGAAACACAGCATGAAGGGAGAAAAAAAAGATGGATTATGATATTTTTAATTGTAACACTTCATATTTAGGGAATCTGATGCTAGATTATAGAGTTTTGGGGTTTTTTTTTGGTGTTTGAGTTATTTTTTTTAAACATAATCAACCTCTGCAATATATGGTTTGTCTAAAGGTTTTTAAGTGTCTCATTTACAGCAGTGAATACTGAAGTAATTTGTAACACTATGTAGAATCCCTTTTTCTTAAAGTAATAAAAAACTGAAAGAGCTGCTGCAAATATAAAAGCCAGCATATTTTACTGGTGTGCTATAGCCTTTTAAGTGTTTTTAATCTTTATAAGACTGTATAGCTTCTCAAAAAGAATGGTGATATTCCAGTTGCTCTGAAGAATTGTAGTTAGTGGCCTGTCACAGTTTGAGCAAATCATGTTGAGTTCTCCCTAATCCCTTGTTTCTCTAAATTTAAGGGAAAAAAAAAACTTATTGATTGCAGAAGCTCTATGTTTTGCTTCCATTAACCAATGGTTAAAAAAAACCCAAACAAACCATCTTCCAAACAAAGGACATAGTTCTTCCTCTTCTCTGTAGATCGTGTGCTGAAGATGAGCTCTGTGTGCATTTCTAATATTCCCCGTATGGCTCCCTCGTTTAGTCCTTTTTCCTCATTGTGCATTAGGAGCCCAAACAACTTGGTCTGTGTTTCAGACTGCAGTAGTAAACTCTGTCCAGGAAAAATTAATTTTTTTTGCAATCTATGTTTGATCATGTTTCATACATAGTGGAAACTATGCTAAGTGTTCTCCTTCAGCAGCGTATGAGGGTATCTGTAGAACTGGTAACGTTACCAGGTGTTAATAGGAGTATAGACCACTTGTCTTCCCAACCATGGGAAATTAATCTCAGAAGTGTGATAAAGCTGCCTGCTTTTGCCTGTGAAAACTTTAAACAATGTTGTAAGCACTTGTGTTATGCCTGCTGGTGGAGCTAAAATTCTGTGTCCGCTTGTTTTTTTCTTCCTTTGATGGGGTCATTGAATCTTGCCTTCTTGTTGCTGTGTCACGGGAGCCAAATGCTTCCAAACAGTTAATAGAATGAGTATCTTCATTTGGCTTAGAGTTGGACACTTAGGTTTGTTTTTTAATAACTTGTAAATAGAAAAAAATATAGCAGTTAAATGGGATATCTTTGTTCATAGTTTGCTTAGACATTTCTCTTTGTGATTGCTCTGGAAAGCTACTCTGAATGTTATTTTAGAGCTACTAAATTAAAGAGAGAGAACTAAGATTTTAATGCCAAGATAATGCATAGATATTAGTTATGAAACAAAGGAATGTCCTTAAAGGATTGATCAGAAATGTTACTTCATAAGAAACTTGGCAATTTGTGCTGTTGTAGTCATTTGTCTCACTGCACTTAGTAGTTTAATATCACTTACCTGCTAACTGCTCTGCAGTCTTTATTTCCTGTTTTCAAGGGGGCTTGTGCTTATGAAGCAGCAAGTGAAAAATAATTAAAACCTTTTCTTAAATATACTTGGAAGTTAAAAAGAGTAAAAGAGCTGCCTTTGTATACTTACAGTTGGATAAATAAATTTACTTCAATTTTAAAATTAATTTGGAATTTAAAAAACCAAACCTTTCCTCAGAATGTGTTACAACTGTTATTTTATCAGAAGTACATGATTTTTCTTTTCATCATTTAGCTCACATTGTAAATTATTACATAACAGAAAAGAAAACTCAAAGACATTAAAATAAAGCTTGTTAATAGAAAAGATCTCTTGCACTAATAGTTTGTTAAAGTTTTGTTTTGGAATTAAGAAAAATATTTTTGGTGAAATTTTGATGTCTTGATAAGTAGTAGTAATCATTAGTATAGTAAGTATTATTAGTAAGAATTATAAGAGTTACTGTACTTCAAAAAATATTATATAACAGAAAATTACATCATTAAAGCTAGTTGAGAATCTAGAATAAGTTGTAAGGTCTGTAAAGAGAATTAATATGTTACTTTTTTTAAACAACAGCTGAAGTTTGGGATAAGGAATTTGACCCTGTCATGGTAATACTTCGAACGGTTTACCGTAGAGATGTGCAGTCTGCAATGGACAGATATACAGCATTGTAAGTTGGATCATTTTTAGAAATGTAACATCATATTGTTGCTCATTGCACAATAATTTTTTTGTTTTCACTGTCTGGTAATGCTAATCTTGTTACTGATGTTTTCAGGGCCCAGATTTGTCCTTGAGTAAATAGTTTATAAATTTACATGTGGTATCAGTGCTTTGGTTACCTTAGTCTGTAACTCTTCCATAAATGTTTAAAAATACACCTGAAGCGCCACAATATTCCCATTTTTGGGAATAAATTAAATGGCTTAGAAGTGCTCATCAATTCTGAAGTTGGTCTAAACAGAAAGAATGCAGGATAGTTATCTATAACAGTGGCAGTTGTCTACATTATTGCAGTGTTTAACAGAAGTCTCGTTTGTTTCAACAGTTTAAAGCAAAGTGGTAAATTTCCTGGGAACCCATGGCCTCCTTACAAGAAGAGAACACCACTACATCCAAGTTACAAAGGTCTCATAAAGCTTTTACACTGTAAAACCCTGCACATCGTGCTGTTCACACTTCTTTACAAGGTATATTCATAATTCTCGTTAAGTCCAGTATTTTACTTCCACTTTTTTAGATCAGGAGTTCTTAGAAGAAGGATTTTTTAATAGATTATCTACAATAATAGATACAATAGTCAGGCTCAAATTTATGTTTATTTTAAATGTGTTTATTTTTGTTCTATTTTCTAAGTCTAGTATGATGATGTTTTTCTACCATTTTCATTATTTCATGAATGATTATCTTATATATACATACACTAAGTCAGGTACCCAAGTGGATGAGCAGTCCTACTCTACTTTGAGGAACACTATTTAACCATCAGAGCTGCCATTTGAATTGTTGTTCTGGGATGGTTTCAGGGAGTGTGGTGGTGTGAGTGGTGTTCCTTTGGCTCCCATTGCAGAGTTTTAAGGCATCAGCAGCCTGTTCAAATATATGCAACCTTGATGGCTTTAGATCCCCAATGGCAAGTACATCTCAAAACTGAATTTAGTTCTAACATCACTTCCTGGACACGTTCTTGCTTTTGATAATGTTATAGTACTTGTTTTTCAGGTCTAATTGATGCCTTTATATTGTGTTTGGTTTTGTCTTTGATAGTTGGCTGCCCTCTTTAAGAGAGATCCATTTTAAAGTGTGTATTCACCAGAAAATGGGACTTTGAATCTGTCTTTGTACTTGGAAAGTGCTTTCAAAGCTGTGTGCTGCAGAGGCAGATGAGGGACTGTAAAAACTGTTTTGATTGAGTAGTGCTTTTCCTGGGCAGTCTTTCCTTTTGTGCTCTTTTAAGTGCTTCCAGCTCCCCTAAAGCTCTTGTTTTGTTTTGCTGTTAAACTTCTGTTGACTAGAAAATATCTGTTGTTAAGTATAGTAATAATTGTGTGGTATACACAAAGAGCCATGCTTATTCACATGGAGTTGTTTCAGCTGATTTCTTTCTTTAATGAAGTATAGTATAAGCTGTCAATAAAACATTAAGATGAATGAAGATTTAAGATTTTACCTGAATTCATTCAATAGATTTCACCTTTTGACAGAAAAGGACTTTTTTCCTCAAGAGCCTCATATTGCTTACAAATTAATGACTTGAGTAAACTAAAGGTTTTGCTGTGTAATTACTGCAATTTCAAAAATCTACTTTAGAATATAAAAAATTTAGTATTTTACTACTAATTTTTCCTTGTCCATAACATGTTCTATTATGGGTAACACTGAATTTCATGTCCAGAGGCTATTGAATGAAGCTGTACCTTTTGGAAGCTCAGTAGTGCAACATCTAATGGTTGGTCAAGGTTTTTCATTGTCAGACGTCTAGTTCCTTATCTTGCCGAAGTTAAACCAGTGTCTAATGTTTTTCATGCTGAATGCCTGTTCTGGCATGAGTTTCCAAGACTGAAGGAAGCACAAGATACATCCCCTTTTTCCATGTTTTAAACATTCTGTTATCAAGATTCTGGATCTGAATTTAGCGGAACTGTAGACATTGCAAAGTTACATTGTGTGCATGTTCAGTGGTTGTTTATTTTATTATGTTAACTGTTGAAGTCCCAAGAAAGTAATCTCCAGACTGGGCATGCCCCATACCAGAGCTGACTAGAGCTTTGCCTGGAGTGACAGTACCTAGGTTCCCAGGGATTTTGATAATTTTGTCCAGAGAAGCTGCTGTGTGCAGTATACTTAACCCTACTTAGCCGCGGCCTGCTGCAGGGAACATGCTGCCTGATAACTGCAGGGTGGAGAACGAGGCTGAGATGTGGTAGTATGTGATGGAGACTGGGGAAGGACCATACCTGGAGAAAGTACTAGACAGGAGACTTATAGGAAGGCTGCTGAAGAAAGGGAGAGCTTGGGCTTATGCAGAAGATGAAATAATATCTTGACATGGCACAAAAATGGAGAATGTAGGGAAGGAATGCATCATCTTTTACTACCTTGATTTTATTTTTTTCTTGGCTATTTTTTCCTCTTATTTCGTTAAGAAGCTTCAGGGTCTTAAATCTTGAGAATCTTAAAATTTCTGGGTTGCTGTTTTATCTGGAATGCCAAATACATTTCTAGCAGATTTATGGATGGTAGAAATTACATAGTGATTGATCCCATGTATTGGCTTAAATTATGTTTAGTCTGTAAAATTTTGACAATGTATAAACCGCCTTTTTATCTCTTGACTTTTGGGACTGTCTGCGGAAGAACAATAATCTACCTTTGATGATTTGACTTTTCAGAAATGTTAGTCAACATGAATTTTGATTCTGACTGGTACAACTGCATATGGTTTTCATATTAATGTAATACCGAGTGCCCTTTTTAATTAAATAATCTCTGTAATCTCAGATTTGATTAGGTTTGACTAAATCAGCTGCTCAGACGTAATTTAGGAAAGCTATTTGTTTTGCCAATTGATGGGGTTAGCGCAAAGGACACAGGCACCAAATTAAAAAAAAAGTGAGCTTATTTTTACTTATGCTTAAGGTGATAAAATAATGAGGAAAATAATACAGTGAAAATGAATTAAAGCAAAATAAGGTAAAGCAGCAAAATAATAAGTGAACTACTATAGCAAGCAGAAAGTAAGGTAATGCACGTAATCATTACTACATAGAGTTAGTGACAGTGATTAAGAAAGATACATCACCAGTTGCCCTATTAATACATTACCATCATCCAGATCCGCAGTCGCTGGGGAGCCCATTTGCAGTGAGGATTTGGAGAACCCTTCCCGGCAATTGGGAAATCTCTGTACAGTGCGTCCACTGTATAGATGAGGCTTCCAAATTTCCCTGCAAAAGTTCCCCGCTTGAATAAACAACTTTCTATCTTAAATTG